AAGTAAATGTTTTGAAATGTTAATGTGACACAACAGATTCGTATCCGGGTCAGGTACGGGTTGGGGGTGTTACATTGGTACAATGAACTTCGCCAGTTTTTACTTGCATCTCACTTCTTGAACTCAGTTGCCGACACCTTTTTGTTCATTCTTGATGATAAAGGTATAACTATCATGTTACTTGTTTATGTTGACGACATCATCATCACATGTAACAATGCAACATCAGTCCAGGAATTCATCTCGGTCTTTGCTCATCGCTTTTCACTTAGAGACCTCAGCACTCTTCACTATTTTCTTGGTATTGAAGTTATTCCTCGCCCTCACGGTCTTCTCCCCTCACAACGACGATACATTACTGACTTGCTGGCTCGAACAAAGATGATTGATGCTCGACCAATCGCCACTCCGCTTGCCATCTCTCCCATCCTCACTCTTCAGTCTGGGACAACACTTACTAACCCAACTGAATTTCGAGCTGTGGTTGGTGGTCTTCAATATCTCTCACTTACTCGTCCAGACATTGCCTATGTAGTCAACAAACTATCTTAATACATGCATCGTTCGACTACCGAACACTGGAATGCTGTCAAGCGACTTCTTCGATATTTGTGTGGTACCATTGATCATGGCATCATATTACATCACCAGTCGTCTCTAGCCCTACATGCTTACTCAGATGCCGACTGGGCTAGTAACAAAGATGACTTCACCTCCACTAGTGCTTATATTGTCTACCTAGGACGAAACCCGTTATCCTGGAGTTTGAAGAAGCAACGAACCATAGCTCGTTCCTCGACTGAAGCAGAGTATCGATCTATTGCATCAACAGCTGCTGAGGTGAGATGTATAACCTCTCTTCTTAGTGAACTTGGATTTACATCCTCACAACCGGTAATCTATTGTGATAATGTGGGTGCAACAAACCTCTGCTCCAATCCGATCTTCCATTCTTGCATGAAACATGTGGCTTTTGACTTTCACTTCATTCGCGAACAAGTTCAAGATGGCTTTTTACGAGTCACTCATGTCTCTTCAATGGATCAACTTGCTGATGCACTTAGCAAACCATTACCCCACACACGTTTTCATGACTTATTAAACAAGATTGATCTCACCTCAAGGTGCTCCAACTTGCGGGGGCATAATAGAGAATTAAATTAATATATTTAACTGTATTTATCTCATTCTCCTAAAATATAGAATATTCAGTTCATATCTAACAATATTGACTTATTCTTATTATTCTTTAGTTATTAGTTTAGTATAGATATCTTTCTGTTGTAACAAAATGATTCTCGTGTAAGCTTATTTATATCTCCTAACATCAATGAAAAGATTACGCCATTATTCATTCAGTCTTACGTTTCTATATTTTTAACCGTATATTAGACTGTCGCACGTGAGACTTCCCCTCTTGAGACTCCTCCATGCTTAAATAAACATTTCTTATTTATCGTATATTGGTGTGGATCACCACCTTTTACCACCGCGTTCCTATTCTCTTCAGTTCAACTTTGGGTATAAAATATATGATTTTTCATGCAAATTAGTATTTATTTATTTTCCCGAATTTCTAAATTTAATATATGAGCTTTATTTTAAGTCAAATTGATATTTAAATTTGAAAATTCAAACAAGTATATGATGATGACGTGACATTTTTATTAGAGATAAAAGTGTAAAGGAGCAGAGCATTCGATTAACTGTTCGTGAATTGTTCGTATAATATACGTTTATTAAGCTAAATAAATGAGTTTGAATAATTTCTTTTGAGTTCATTTAATAAACAAATGAACACGAACATATGTGTGTTCGATTCGTTTATGTACACAAATAAGCTCAATTATCGACTCACATATATGCTTGTTTACTTGGTTCTTCTTCTCTCTTTTTTATTACAATTTAAATATTAGTGAAGGTATGAACTAAATTGAGCACATGTGTAATCTCTGAACATATAAACGAACAAATTCACTAATGCTAAACGAACATATTCATTTAATTTTTTTTATATTTGTTTGTTTAATTAACATTTCTAAACATATAAATGAACATGTTCACGAACATAGAACGAACCGAATACGAACACCTTAAAAAACAAACAAACGAACATAAACAAATCCTTGTTCGTTGAAGCTTGGTTCAATTACACCTATGATTAGAGACAATCCCATCACATACCTATATATTGATTTTGACATATCCATGTCAATGATAACACATTGTCACCGATCTAACTACATATTAATCCTAATGCATTATAGTTGTCCAAACCAACAATAATATTTGACTAAATATTTTTTTTAAAAAATAATCATATTATTTTTAAGATGTTTTTAAAATAATCATATTATTCTAAAATATTTATGTTATATTTAATTTCAAAGCTAAATTTGAAAGATGAAGCAAGCCCTAGATTTTTATATGGCGATGGACAGAGAAGTTTAAAATTCAACTTGTTAATATAAATTTTAAAAAAATGACATAAATCGATTGCAACTGAAAATTTTATTAAAAGTGTGATTTTTCAGGTTGTACAAGATAATATTTTAGGTTGAAATAAAAAATATTATTTTATTCGTAACATTTTCGATTGTAACTGAAATTATTACAAAATATATAATTTTTCTGATTATAAATCCTAAACCACGTAATGTAATTTTTTCAATTGTGACTAAAAATGATTCAAATTATATAACTTTAAAGTTGAATATGATAATATTTTAAATTAATTTTTTAAAATTAACCTTAAATTATATTGTCGTAAAACATAACACACATCATAATCTAAAATCTTAATTTTCTTTGATTAATTATTTATTTTATTGATAGTGTATATTTTTAAATTTTATTTATGTCACTTTCATTTAAAATTTATATATTATTAACGTATATATATTTATTTTAAAAAATATTTCTAGATCTCAATTATATGGATAAGGCGTCAATTACCAAAATTAGTGGGTTACTTTTGAGCTTTGTTTCAAATCCCAAAATTAGTGGGGGGTTAAAACTCAAAACTTACCATGAACATGATGATGATCTCATCACCTCACACGCGTCTCTGATTATCACCCGTTCTTAACAAATAATTAAGGATTAAATAATATTTTGGTCTCTAAAATTATATCATCTTATTATTTTATATAAAATTGGAAAATTGAATATTAAAGTTTGAGAATAAATTAATTTATGAAGATCACTTCTATAATTAGTCTCTACAGCATTTAATCTATAATATTTAATTACTATATCAGATAATAATAGTTAAACCAATATTATACATATTTGTGAATTGTGCCCATCCACACCGTACTAAGAGTCACGTGATTACTGTTGTGTTCAGAACTTTGAACTCTTCTTGTCTCCATCATTCTTCACCCCCCCCCCCTCACATGCTCTACATTATATTCTCAGCTAAGTTATACTTTTGTACCTCTTAAGCCTTAAGCCTTAAGCCTTAAGCCTAGATTTACTTTTAATTGTTAACCCTAGATCCTAGCACATGCTCATGTCTATGTAGATGTTAGTCACGTGGGTCTTCTATTAGAATTTCAATTTTGATAATTAAGATGTGTTTGATTCATGAAATGTAAAATTATCAAAAGAAATAAAAAATTATCGGGAAATAAGATTACTGAAAATATTATATTTTATATTTGGTTGGTTTAGCAAGAATGTAACATTACAATATTTGGCTAAATGAATAAAAGATTATTAGAATGTATATTTTACCAAATTGTCCTTATTATATATTTATTTTTTTAATAATTTGAATTCTACTTTAATATTACTATAATTAATTTATATATTTTCTTTAAAAAATTTAAATTCATAAAATTTATATATATATATTTTTATAAAATTAAAAAGATAAATATGTTTAATGAAATGGTAAAATTTTATTTTAACCCCTGAACTTCATATAAAATTTTAATTATAGATCTTTTTTGTAAATCTAAAATAGTTTAAGGATAAATTTATAATTTAACCTTCGTAGAATTTTTATTATTCAACGACAGAAGAATGATATTTTTGAAAAAAATATTAAGGATATTTTAGTCCAAAACGCCGGTAATCCAACAATACCTAAAGGAATGGAGTAATCACATTTCTGGTAATATATCCCAAAAATCTACTGTTGATAATAAAATATTATCGAGGCTAATAATATTGGCAAATCAAACAGGGGAATGAGATATACCTTGAACCAAATAGCCCCTAAGTAATTATCTATATATCATAAACAATGGGGTTTTAATTTAATCAGAGAATAAAAAAAACAATAATGAAAGGGTTAAATACTTTGGAATGAATAATAAGTCAAAATGATCACAGTTGGAATATTCATGTTACCATGTGTCTTCTAATCAAACTCATCCTTTTTATTTTCCTTTTCTTTTTGAAATTAATCTATTAATTATCGAATTAAATTTTATAAATAAACGAAAGTGTCTTGTGAATCATAAAATGCAACAATAATTATCATTCAAACAATAATAACAATAACATTGATGTTATTGTGAGATTATTCCATTTTTTGAACTACCAAAGCTAAAGCTGTAGAATATCATTTCTTATCTGATTGATGATGCTAACGGTCCAAGTGTAGTTGATTTTATTAGGCTAAGTCTACGATATAAAGCTGGCAGTGGCAACTACTCTTTATATCTCTATTATGCTCGTGAGATCTTTGACTTAAAAAATTAAGGATCTAATTATTGTTTAAATTATGAATCAAATCTTTTTAACACATTAATTATACATATTTTTTATGTAACTCTTTTTATTTTATATTTTCTTTTTTAAAATAATTTGGGTGATTATAGATAGTATATATTTATAAATGTGATTTTTTAAATCTAATATTTAAAATAAAATTATTTTAACTATTAAGCTTATTGGATGGATTCTGACTTTTATACTTAAAAACACTCTAACAATAAACCAATTAGTAATAGCTTATATAATGGTTAAAAGTAGTTTGATCGGTCTGATCCGGTCTTATCGGTTCAATATATAGGTACGTTTAATATTGGCGTCGGCACAATTATATATAAGTGAAACCCTTCCTCTCATGCCGCAATTTCCTACAACCACCCTTTTTTTTACCGCCAATTTCGCACCCCCACTATCTATTCCTCGAATGCAATATACAAGAGCTTCGCAAAAATCAATACTTAGCCATAAGCAACAATGTCTTTCAAGAATCCGTCACCGCCGAGTTCTCAACAGCAACTGCACGATCTCAAACAACGCATTTTCACTTGCCTCAACAAGCTCGCTGATCGCGACACTCTGGCACTCGCTTCGGCTGAGCTCGAGTCCATCGCTCGAAACCTCACCGCCGATTGCATCTCTCCGTTCCTTAACTGCCTTCACAACACCGACGCTTCGGCCAAGGCTCCGGTTCGGAGGCAATGCGTTATCCTTTTGACTTTGATGTCTCACTCGCACGGTAAAATCCTATCTCCTCACCTTTCTAAGATGATTTCCACCCTCGCCCGCCGGCTCCACGATCCCGACTCCGCCGTCCGATCCGCTTGCGTTGAGGCGACAACCGCAATGTCGTCTCACATCACGAAGCCTCCGTTTTCGGTTCTGTCGAAGCCTTTGATAGAAATGCTCGTGGTGGAGCAAAACGTTAACTCGCAGATCGGAGCGGCGATGTGTTTGTCGGCAGCAATTGAGGCGGCTCCGGATCCCGAGACGGAGCAGCTTCAGAAGGTGTTGCCGAAGTTGGGGAGGTTATTGAGGAGCGAAAGTTTCAAAGCGAAAGCGGCTGTGTTCGGAGTTATTGGAAGCATTGCTAGCGTTGGCGGTGCCGGAAGTAAAGGTGTCTTGGATTGGTTAGTGCCTTGCGCGGTTGAGTCTTTGAGCAACGAAGATTGGGGAACGAGAAAGGCGGCGGCTGAGGCGTTAGGGACAGTGGCTATGGCGGAGAAAGAGCTAGCGACGGAGTATAAAGCGGTGTGTGTGACTGCTCTTGAGAACAAGAGGTTTGATAAGGTGCATCCGTTTGTATCTTTACTCCGTAATCATTTAATAATATATATTTTCCCGACAAGGGAAAAAGTAGAGAAAAAAAATGAAAAATAGAAGAATTTTGCTCATCGTTTTGATAAATTTTGTTGGTACAGGTTAAGATTGTCCGGGAAACTATGAATCGTAGTTTGGATTTGTGGAAGGATGTCTCTGAAGTTTATGAAGAGGCCTCAACGTCCGACTCATCTTTAGTAGGTATAATAATGATTTAATTATGTTTACCTTGTAATTATCTGATATTTGGAAATTAATCATCATTATTCATACCCTTAATAGTTTGATTTACTGGGAACTGCATTTGTTTGTTTGTTTTCCTGGGATAAGATACAAAAATTTGATCCTTCTTCAACGTGAGTGATCAATTTCTTCAACAAGTTTCACTTTAAAACTTGGGAAATTTAAGGGTTGCTATTATTGTGCGGCTGTAGAACATTTATGGTTGACAACCACTGCTATAAACTATTAGCTTTTATCATTTATGGTTGTGTGCTTTGATCGAGGGAACAGATAATGGTAGCGTTGGATGCTTTCCTTCAGTTGCAAAAAATATCAATTATGTTGGTTTTAGAACTCCTCAATCAAAGGAAGTAGTCCCCACGAGCAGGTCCCCTCCATCTGATGCTTCCAATGCGTCCGCTGCGAAGAAAGAGACTCCAATGAAGAGTAACAATAGGAATGGTAACTCGTCGATTTTTGGTAAGCTGGACCGCTCTAAATCGTCTAATTGGAAGATTGAAATCTCCGAGCAGAAATCTCCATTTTCATATGATGACAATATCAAAAAGTGTGTACCCTTTGTCAAGGTCCATGATGAGAAAGTAAAGAATTTTGGTGGTTTGAGATCAGAGTCTCGGGTGATTCCTTTTCATGATAATGAGAACTTAGATGTTGGTGGCGGGAATGCATTTCTAGATGTTGGCCAGAATCTCAAAGACATGGAGGATCTGTCTTTGATCCGTGAACAACTTGCTCAGATTGAAGACCAGCAATCCAATCTATTGAACCTCCTCCAGGTAGTTTACTTTGCATAGTCTTTATCTTTCAAAGGGTAATTCCTTAATATAATTTCATATTGTTCTTTTGAAGCTACTGAGTAATTTTACGAACAATGCTTTTATTTTTCTGTATTTGATTCTAGAAATTCATTGGGAGCTCCCAAAGTGGGATCAATTCTCTAGAGACACGAGTAAATGGTCTGGAGATGGCTCTAGATGAAATATCGTATGATTTGGCTATTTCAAGTGGTAGGATTCCAACCACGGATTCCCCAGATAACACATGTTGCAAGCTGCCTGGTGCAGAATTTTTGAGTCCCAAGTTCTGGAGGAAAAGCGAAGGTCGATTTTCTACTTCAAGGTTATCTTCTACAGAGCGCAGGCTTTCACTAAATGCAATACATATCACACCTGATAAAGATTCCGGCGGTGAAACGTATAATCCATCATTTAGCCAAAGATATAAGATTCAATGTAGGAGTGGATTTGTTATGAACTCAGTGGCCGATGCTGGCAGTGATACAAGAGATAATTCAGGGTTCTTAATTAGAACATCAAAGAATTACATTCAAAACGCAGAGAGGTTCCAGTTTGGCAATGGTAGTGCTTCCGATGGGACTCCACCGGTTCGTTGTGGCAACAGGTACTGGGATTGCTCTTTAAATTTGCTATATACTTCATGACTGTCTGCAAGATGAAAATACAAGTGTGTTTCATCTTTTTTATTTCTCTGTTTTCTTTTTTCAGATATTCAGCTTAACAGGAGCTTGAAGAAGCAGACAAGCGCCTTGGAAAAATCGAGGTTGAAAATGAAATGACAGGATGAAATCGTGGATGAAACTGATGATGAGGTGCCAGCATTTTGGCTTTATACACGGGGTTGTAGGTTTTTGGTTTTAATTCCATCAGTAAATTAACTGCAATACCAATGGCTTTTTTGTCAACAGGGTCCTTGCCCCCCTCACAGCCACTGATTGGTTTTGCAACAGAGAGGCCTCATCTAGTCTCCCTGCATCTCGTTGTATCTTTCTTTCTTGATGCCAGTTCTTGCGTACCGCATTATAAATATTCAATCTTAGGCCATGAAGTCAAAATTAAATTACTATCGCAATTGAATATTCTTTTATGTAGTATAGCTCTCTATAATAATAACAGACAATTTGTTTCTTAATGCGGATTGATAAAATTAAAGAAGAGCTCGTTTACTCACGGAAGGACCAAACTAAAAGAGAAATAGGCTTTGAATATAAAGATCCAAAAATAAAATTCTCCAACATGTCCTCCCATCCAAGCATGGTGTAATGGGCATGGGATCCGGACTAAATGGGTTTTAATATGATCTTATACGATTATTTTTTCTAAACAATCATGATCGGGTTGGGGTTTTTAAGAACAATGCTGGATTGCGTTCTTCCATCCGGCGTTTTTGATATCCTCCTATAGGATAATTTTTTTTCCAGAGAAGTTATATTCGAGTCTAATTTTTAAGGATGAGATTAGATTAAGTTTGCCTATGACAATTTATCTCAACAACCGATTCAGATTAGATTAAATAAAATTTCTCGAACAAAAATTGAATAAAAATAAAGAAAATATAATATTCAAATTCGGTCAAGTACTCCTCCATAAGTGTAACGCAGTTGATATATATATTCTAACGGAGTTCATATGTTGTTAAAATAGACGAGGTCTTGATTACTGAAATATTAACAAAATGAAATTATGATTAAATTCAAATAATAAAAACACATTTTTACAAATTATTAGATTTGGCACGCGCGCATAGTGGGATAAATTTAAAGAAAAAAATTAAGGATATATGAAAAATTAAATTATTGATGATTAAAGATCCGGCTAGTTTAGCAAAATATAAATTTATTAAGTAATTTTAATAGTTAAAAAAGTGTTCTTCTTTTTTAAAATTCTAGATTTGAGTAATATATATGTATGTTTTTAATAATTAAAAAGATTATGAACATACTAGAATTTCTTTCACTAACTAAGTAACTATGTGAAAAAGTAGCCTTTTAAAAAATTATATTCAGAAGAAAGTCGAATTAAAATTGACCAATTCGAGTTATCCACTACGACGACCAGTAGTTTCCTTTATGATCACTTGTTACCCATAACCCATCGATTTATTCTTAAAACCAATCAAACGAAGACATCATTATTGGGTCTTTCATGTTATTGAAAAATAAAATGTGATAAAGCAAAAAATTAAAAGTTTAGCATTATCAAATCATTAAAAAATATAATCCAAGATGAATGTAAACAATAATTTTTTTTTCTTGATCCTTGAAGATGAGTTGACAAGACAAACAAAACAAAAATAAATAAGGTGAACTACAAGTTTAGTTCGTTGATTATCATTTTTTCTATTTTAGTCATCTAATTATTTTCTATTTCAAAATCATACCCAACATTATATTTTAATTTTATTTTGATCATTCATCGTTATATAGATTAAAAAGATGGAAGGTTTTACTTTTAATACTAGGACTATGGTGTTATAAGCATTATTTTTTTTATAAAAAAAAATTGACTTTTACGTTCTTGTTTATGAGATCAAAATACAATGGGACAGAATTCTCGAGATCTTTGGTCATAAAAGTTGCGGTTGAATTGATTGACTTGTGTAACAATCTAACTACTTAATCTACTAGTTTCTTAGGTTTCTTGAGAGGAGAGAAAAAGAAGACATGAAAAAGAGAATATATGCAGATTAAATTTTTAGATTTAATATTCACATTAGACTCATGTTAGAATTTTATATCTTTCAATTAGATAAAAGATGTAGGAAAATGGGGGAAGGCGTTATGTAAAGCCCAAATTTCTGGAAAGGGTTGGCACAGTATAGGAGGCTACCGCGCATTTGTACACTCTTTTGGCTTATCAGCCGAGACTGGTTAATGACTGTGAGAATGCAGTTATAGCATCAAACTATTGACTCATAATGCATATCATTTATTGATCTATAACACTCCTTATATACAAGAGTTTACAACATTTACATAAGCTCTTATAACTACTCAACAACTAACCAACTAACAACCGTTCCTAACAGTTTCCTTAACTATACAACTAACCGTACACATCAGCTATCATTCAATATTCTCCCTACTTCTTCTTCTTCCTCCCAAAGAAAGGACTGTACATTCACCCTGGCTTTAAACACTTCAAATCCAGCAGCAGCTAGTGGCTTTGTGAATCCATCAGCAACCTGGTGACTTCCTGGCACATAGTTCACCAACACTTGCTTCAATGCCATCTTCTCACAAACAAAGTGAACATCAAGCTCAACATGTTTACTTTTTGCATGATAGACATGATTAGCTGTCATGGCTATAACACTGTTGTTATCACACCAAACTATATGAATTTTCTGCCTTGCAATACCCAAATCACTTATGAGAGCATCTACCCATGTTGTTTCAGCAGTAACATCTGCTACACTTCTATACTTAGCCTCCATGGTTGATCTGGACACTGACTTTTGTTTCTTTGAGTTCCACATTATAAGGTTGTCACCTACAAACACGCAATACCAAAGACATATTTGCGATCATCTGTGCTTGCAGCCCAATTAGCATCAGCAAATGCTACTACATTGAATCCTGCTACTGCAGGTGCTATGACCATGCCATGATTAATTGTTCCCACCAAGTACCTCAAAATCCTCTTAACTGCAACTAAATATTCTTGCCTTGGAGCATGCATGTACTGTGATGCCTTGTTAACACTGAAGGTAATATCTGGACGAGTGTGACAAGCATACAATAATGCACCTACAATGCTTCGATACTCATAGACATCCTGAAGCAACACCCCCGCATCTTGACTCAACTTAGTAGACACCAGCATGGGTGTAGATGCAGGATTGACAGTGCTCATTTTCATTAACATTTCTAGGATAAACTTCATTTGACTAAGAATTAAAGAGCTACCACAACGCTTAACTTCTATTCCCAAAAAATAATAAAGATCACCAAGATCCTTCAAGGCAAATTCTCTTCCAAGTAATTTCACTACTTCTTCAATCTACTTGTTGGAGCTTCTAGTCAACACTATGTCATCAATATACATGAGTATGTAAACACACTGACCATCATCCCAGCGAACAAAGAGAGATATATATACTGAAGACTCTTTAAATCCAATCCTAAGTAGGCAATCCTTCAGTTTATCATGCCAATTTCGAGGGCTTGACATAAACCATACAACGCCTTTTCTAACATGCACACCAAATGACTACCATCAGCAGCTATTTGCTCAAACCCAGGTGGTTATTGCATGAACACTTCTTCATGCAGATCACCATGCAGAAATACATTGTTCACATCCACCTGGCGTAACTGTCAGCCATTCGTAACAGCTAGTGAAAGAACTACATTCAACGTTGCAAATCTAACAACTGGACTAAATGTTTTACCAAAATCATGCCCTGGCATTTGTGAAAAACCTTTAGATACTAACCTAGCTTTATACCTGCTAATAGAACCATCAGGGTTCTTTTTCAACTTGAACAACCACTTACACCCCACGACTGACCTTCCTTCAGGTAATTTCACTAGGGTCCACGTACCATTCCTCATTAAGGTTTCAATCTCTGCATGCACTCTTACTCTCCAATGAGGTGATTGAATTGCTTCATGAATATTAAGAGGTTCCATATCATCATACCTAGCCACATACAACTTAGGTTTAAATACCCCACATTTACTCCTTGTCAGCATTGAATGTCGATTCAACGAAATGACATCATTAACATCTCTTAAAGGAGCAGCATTGTCAAACAAACTGGTCACTAGCAAAGGTTGCCTTTGGTTTGCCGACTCAACATCTTCAGCTGTACCAACTTCACCATCTTCATCTTCAGCTGTACCAGCTTCACCACCTTCTTCATTGATATCTCCTTGAGCAACAGTTTCTAGGGAAGTTTCACGACTAGAGTTCCCATCTACATTATCTTCTACTGCACTAACAACTTCCTATGGAACTGTTTCAGACAAGCCAACCAAATTCATAACATCAGAAGTTGTTCCTTAACCTACATCAGTCATGTTGTTTCGAAATTATCTCATGTCAGCGACAACTTCAAGTTATGCAAACCATTGTTTATTAGATGGAGATGTATTACTCGACCCTTCAACCCCTATAAATGGAAAGGTAAACTCATAAAAAATAACATGTCTTGTAACATATATCCTGCCACTAGCTACTAAACACATGTAGCCTTTGCGTTGAGTGTTGTAACCAAGGAATATTCATGATTGAGAGCGAAATTCCTATTTGTGCTCCTGAAACAACCTCAAGTTAGTAAAACATTTACACCCAAAAACTTTCATGAAACCATAATCTGGCTTCTTCCTGAATAATTTCTCATAAGGTGACAATCCATCCAAAACTTTAGTAGGAAGTCGATTAATAAGAAACACTGCAATAACAACTGCATAGTACCTATAACATAAGGGCATAGCAGCTTGTGCTAGCAAAACCAAGGCAAGCTCAATAATGTGTCGATGTTTCCTCTCGACCACACCATTCTGTTCGGATGTATGAGAGAATGCAACATGATGTTCAACCCCTTGTTTTAACAACACAACTGATAGACTTCGATACTCTCCACCCCAGTCGCTTTGCACAACCTTCACAACTAGCCCAAACTGAGTTGCATCTATTTGCTGAAACGTGTTTACTGCCTGCGATCGATCTTTCAAGAAATAGACCCAAGTGTGTCTCGCGTATTCATCTACAAATGACAAGTAATAGTGATAGCTATTTGAAGCTACATGAGCTGGTCCCCATATGTCAGTGTACACAAGTTGAAATGCTTTAGTATAGATAGTCTTGGTATAGGATAAGGGAAATTTATGGCTTTTGCCAATGTAACATGCTTCACAAATTTTATTTACATCTTTATTAATTTGTACATCAATGGCTTTGCATACACTAGTAACAGTATCATGCGTAGCATGCCCTAACCTCTTATGCCAAAGGCTATAAACATCACCAGCCTTAGCAACATTTACACAAGAATTCCTACAAACACTCATCATAGTAGTACTAGGGAACACATAAAGTCCTTCTTGCATT